ACACACACACACACAAACTTAAAAACACCTGCCACTCTATTTGATAACCACTGGATTAGATCAGCTTTCAGAATAAAAGCCTCCGTTCCTCATTCTCCTGCCGGTACTCACCGTGCAGTCTGACAGCCAGCTCAGCAATCTGACTGATCCTCTCCTCCTGCTGAGGAACCGTCGGCCAGACGAACTTCTCAAACTGTCGGTAGAGAACAGAGACGGCCTCTGTGCTGCGACACTCAGAGGAAAACTTCCCGACGCGAGCGATGGTCGCACTCGCCTCTTCGCACCAGAACTGATACTGTTAATCCAGAACAACGTGTAAACGTGATCTCATGTTTAATCTAAAAATCACAATTTAAAAGAAAAAAATGCAGCCAGTGTTTTTCACCTCCTCCATGGCCTGCTGCAGTCTGCGGGTCATCTCCAGTGTTTTCTGGTGGTCGCTGACACTTCGCTCGAAATCTCCCATCTGCCTCTGCAGCTCGTTGATGGCGTCCTCTGCCTCCCGGGCCATGCCCCCGTCCTTGACCTCCGACCCCAGCCGGCCCGTCACACCCTGCAGACGTTTCCTGAGTGCCTGCAGGATCGGACAGAGCGGAGAATGATAGACCCGCCACTCACTTCTCAGCTACTACATTAAGTTATTCATGTTACATAAGAGTCGTTAAAATCAAATCGCAGTCATGTAAGAGTTCTAAGAGTCAGGTACAGTTTGTTTTCTTCCACCTTTGTTATGTAACGTTGTCATTTGTGAACAAACTGAGTGAAAACTCAGTGGAAAATTATACACTAATGTCTAAATCACCAAGAACTTATCTTTCAGAAAGAAAGATGCTGATTAGAAAAGACAGGAGAGGCTCAAACTGGGGATACTTTTTTCTTTTCTTTTGACATTTTTGGCTTTAACAGACTCATGGAACATGGAGAAAGAGACAGATATAACATGAAACAAAGGTCTCTCGCTGCTGGTATTTGGCATGCGGCCCAACCACTCAGCTACTGAGGACACTGCCAAACTGACCACCCCTTTGCTTCTGAATGGAAAACCAGTTGCACAATGTGCAGATCACAGACTCAGATCAGGAGCTGGACTTACCTGCAGCTTCTCCTCATACAGCTCCACCTGCTGCAGCTGGTTCCTGACGGCCTTCGTGTTCCTGGTCCTGTCATTTCTCTTCAGGTAGTTAAACTTCAGGTTGCTGAAGCGTTTCTTCAGCTCCTTAAAAGAGTCACGGAGCTGAAACATTAAACATCAGAAAATTAGTCGCAAACAGAGTTTTATGTTGACAGAGGGACTTCCAATGTAGTTCAATCTGTGGTGCAACAAGCAAATACTTCACTGTTGATAGGTCGCATTATTTTTCAATAAAATAGATAGTTTCATCAATAAAATGTCCATATATTCACATAAACCAATTACATTTAAGATGTCTAACTTGTTCTAAAAAGAGCAAACCCCCAGTTTATTAATTTCATAGTTACATGAAACAAAGACACACAATACGACCTTTGCATTTTTGAATCTGTAACCAACAAAGATTTTATATTTTTAGCCACGCGAGGCTGTATGTATGGTGATGTCCAACAATTAGGTCCAGACTGAAATATCTCAACAACTGATTTCTGTCCAACTTCCAAGAGGACGAATTTGGGCGAAATGTTTCCAGAACTTTTGGAATGAACTTTCATAAATTTGGACGTTCATATTTGACTCAGAATTAAATGTAATGACATTAGCAATCCACTTTTCATTAAGCACCATCATCAATAATAATACGTTTATGACCAAATACTGACAAAACTAGTGACATTCTTATCCCATTAAGAATAATAACATCAACCTGCTGGTGGCGCTAGAGGAAAAGATACAGAATCCCAACAGTCAGTAGGATTTATCCTCTGGCGGCCATGAATGTTCGTCAGGTTATTTGTTGAGATATTTCAGACATTAACAGGGTTTATAAATAGTTCGTATAATATCTTATATTGTATACATCATTTATCTTATTTTCAGCCA